CACATTTATTGCGAATCTAGGCCAAGTGCATCGTTAACATTTTGAACGTTATCGCAACTTTCAGGTCTACACAAAGCCAGAAAAAGAAAGTCATGCCAACTTGCTCATTGAGTATACCGCATTCAAAGCTTTAAAAAAGTTATGAGACAATGCTTTAGGACAAAGCTAGGCCAAGCATGAGACAGAACAGGAAATGCCCTTCAAAAAGGCATTCATACAGATTACAGTTTTTCTGGGTTTAAACGAAAATAGAGCTTTCAAAAGTTGAGTGTCAAAAAACGACAGAACTTTTTGAAACGCTTAATACAATAACTATGACTGGAATGAGTGGGCATTCGAAACAGTCTCACCGGTCACGGCAGCCTCGGGCCAGCCGCTAGGCCACGTCTCGTCGTCTGCTGCTTCCCTTCACCTTATTCCATACAAACTGTATTCTGTCTATTAGACAACAAAGGTAAATCTTTTATTGCGTACTGTATTTGCTATAGAACTATGGATAATTATAACTATATACCTATGCACAAATCCATCATAGAGCGATCAGGGATCTATTGTATGAAACCAGTGCAGTGGTAGAACTATGAAGTAACGCAGTTTCTTGCTTTGTGATGGTCGGTTTTTCAACAACACCCTAGTGGCGCCAATCACTTCCAGTCATTCCCTTACAGAAAGTGGGGAGAAATCATGCGCTCCATAAAGAACATACAAACTTAAACTCTCCGCAGTTTCTTGTTTTAATTTCTTCAAACTTGTTTTAACTGCAAAGAATTTTTTAAGTGGTCGCCGTCAGTTTTGGTGCAGGCCTTCTTTTTTTCAATTTTTTTCAGTTGATGCTGCGGAGAAGCTCATCTCAGAAGACTCATTCCAAATTTCGGACATCTCTCACGAAGGTTACCAAACTTCTTGCATTTCGATTCTATCGAAGGAAATAAAGGTTTAAACGCGTGTAGTATAGAGTGGAGCTTCCAAACCTGAACATCGCACTGGCTCGAGGCGATAATGCCCTCTCTGGAGCCGTTCCTTTATGCGAACGTTGCTCCAAAGAGCCCAATCAAAACATTTGTGAGATTCTTTCTCGGCATACGGTCTAGATGATTTAAAGAAATTCGACAGAAAGGCTCATTTTGTTAGTTGCTGAAATCAACCGATCAGGAGTAATTATGACCGGATTGTCTGAAACAGTCTCAATTCTTCGCGAATAGCAGCTTTCGCAAGAGTAGGTTTCCCAACAATGCAAAAACTGCTCACCAATGTAACGAGCATATTCTGGAAACGAACAAAAAAAGATCAACAAGGAACGAAACGCATAGCCTTGCAGAGATGGGATCGGCATGAGAACCGCTAGACTAGGTCCACATCCATGCCGCGTATGCGTCTCATATTCGTGCCAAGTTGTCGTGTCAAATATACCTCTGCCCAGAAAACAGTTTTGCAGATAAAGCATAGATTCGAGCTTGAGGAAGCATCACCTAACCAACATCTCATCCAAAATAGCCGCTTAGACCCACTGTCATGGTTGTTTACAGCCGCCTGCTTGAGCAAAATCCACCAAATGAGACCTAAGACTATTTCAGGAAACTCAAGGACTTCTCTTTCAGTGTGCCAGATCGCCACAGTCCGTTTCTGAGGTTGGCCCCACTGTGGCAAGAGGATCTTCTCGCGCCCAAATCATAGAGATAGGGAAAAGAAAGAGCTTCTGGTAACAAAGGTGACTCAGTTAGGGGTTGCTTTGCAGTAGGAAGAAAGAGACATAGGGAAAATTAACATTTTTGGAAGCCCAAAGAAAAATAGCACTGTCATAATTAACCAACTTACATTGCAGTCATCCACGATAAGCTGAAAACTACTGTGATGACGAACAGCATAATGGGAAGGCCCACTTGAAGAAATAGTATTACACAGTACATGACAAGTGCAATAACCACGTTGATGTGAAGGCGATACGTTTTTGGGGAAAATTCGTGTTTCCTCGACCGAATGCGTAGAATTACCCTGCAACAGTGCTGCCTCAGTGAAAAAAAGGTTTGAAAAAAGGAGCAGAAATTCTACGGAATTTTTTTTTGCGATGCGGACTCTCGCTTTTTATTCTTTCCTAGTAATTATTAAGGTGTCTCATGAGTGTGTTGAGCCTTTTCCCCTGACTTCGCTAATTACAGCGCCCAGTCAACAGCTTTATATTATATGTTTCAAAACGGCTGGAGGCTACGCTCCTGTGCTGCAACTGCAACGCATAATTCCCTTAAACCCAAGGAATGATTAGCAACCAGGCCCGAACAGTTCCAACTTATTCCATCTTTTTAACGCTGGACAAATGGTGCGCTGAGCACATGGACAAATGATGGATATCATGGGTCAGGGTGCTCCGTCGGAGATTATACTCACGATCAGCTCACGGGACAAGTGCCCCCTGGTAGGGATCATAATCCTAAAAATAAAATTCATCTAAACAGTCTCCAACTTAGTACCGGAGGATAGTACTCGAACTTTAGGGCACCGATGATGCCAGCTGCCCCAGACGAGCTGCAGCAGATGATGTGTGCCAGCACCTCGAAATGTCCTAAGCAATAAAAAGGTGACTCCCGGTGATGAGAATACAAATCTAAGGAGCTACAGGCTGATCTGGAAATTTTACGAAAGGGAATTGATCTCTTTCTTCTTCCAGCACTTCTCCCAATTAAGCCACGTCCTGCAATCGGTTTGACCACAATAATGTATTCTATTACCCTGACCAAGCATTTAATCGGGAAAGGTGGCGCCAGCATATCAGAAAAGCGGACCCCACCAACAAGCGGGACAAATGCTAAAGAAGAAGAAGAATGTATATATTATGTGGTTACATCCTAGCGAGAATCACTGCATTAGCCGTAACAACTCGGTGCGTTCATGTACGTACATCTTGGTGAGAACCTCCAGTCATTACATAAACTAATATTGAGTTGGATAGTTATGGAAAATATAAACTTTTAACGCGAAAGTAGTGTAATAGCAAGTGATATCACTTGTAATCGTAATCTTATTGTAATCTCACTAAAAATTAATGTAATCGACTGTCAATGTGTCAGTAAAAGTTGTCCCTACCTCAGAAATCAAATCGTGAATCGAACTTGGGCAGAGTACCTAAGCCTTCCACCCTTTGGGGCCGGCTGACCAGTGCATGTGACCTATTTCGAAGACAAAGGTCCATGAGAGAACCAATCAATCTACGACAGTATTCGTACTTTGGTACTCTCGAGTAATAGGGAAGGCCCACGAATAACATGTCGAATTCACTTTAAAGATGGATTCTGGCGCATTTTATAAAAGCTTATCAGCACGGAGTGCTTTTTCATTTGCCAATTTTGTTATCAACTTGAGCCGATAGTCTGCTGCTCGCTCACCTGATTATCATTGCACTACCAACGATTGCTGCGCCAGTGTAAATAAGAAGTAGTGCTATCAGGCCCAAATCGACGCCAAACGACTGAAAAAGGTAAACCGGCATAGCGGCGAATTCGTTCACAAAGACAGCGTTTCTTGGGTCCGCTGTTAACATCGATGAGACTGACTGCGTGTCACTTATTATCAAGTAAATAAATGTCATGCTAAAAGGTGTGACAACAAATAACTGGACAGAAGAAAAGCAGCCCATTTTATGATTAGAAAATTTTTAGATCTCAAGATCCAAGAATGACAAACTGATATGTAGTGAAGTGATACTGAGTCTGCAATGCTAACAACGGCACCCGCGCCAAACCACCAGAACAAAACACTATAAAGTAGAGTTGTTTCACGACCTAGTAGTCTGGTGGGTCCCATGCTCAAAATCACAGGATATGGCACCATGATGTGCGGTACAAACAGAAAACAGATCATATTACATTCTAAAGCGGGAAACACAACATTGCAGTACATAAGAACTCGAAACGTCCCCAACAGCTCAATAGAAGCTGTTTTCATGACGTATAAAGCAAATAGTATCACCACATTCGTAGCTATGCCATAAAATAACATTGTTTTTCGTTGAATTGGAAAATATACTGCATGTTTCTCGTATACTTCAAATATACCAACAAAGTCTGACGAGTCCATTCTAGTGGAAGTTTCTCGGTAGACTCAATGATTCTGTAAATAACGCTTGGGTTTCTTGAAATTTTGTTGGTTCTTAAACGTTGTTATTTTTTTAAAGTATCAGGAGCTGTGAACACCTCAACAAGAAAATGTAAACCACGACAACCTGCAGAGTTAGCGAGCAGCAACTTGCTAGTTAGAATCGAGAACCCGTCCAGCATAGTCCAACTGCCCTTCGCATTTGCCCTGGCAAATGGGGTGGGGGTGGGCAGGACTAGTAAGAGGGAGGCGTTTGTGCAACGTATGCACATTTTTAAACAGCTTTGTCCACTCTCGGAGCAGATAACGTCACAGCATGCCGCACAATGTGGGGAAGCGCGACAGGTCAGAACTGTGAGAAACGCTCAGATAATAGTTTTCTGACTTACCCCCACCTTCTACATAGTAACGTGTCTTGTACAGGCGGCAATTTTTAGCATGGGAGTGACAACAGACTTGCAAGGTCATTGAACTCGACCCATTAGCGACAATGTCAACCACCGATAGCTGACAAGCTTCAAATGAAGATTTGGCGCTCTACCTTTTGCAACGTTTTTCTTTTCTGTTGAAAGTTGTACAAACGTTATGTTGCCTCAGCTCTGGATGGGCATCTTCATTAACTTCGACTCTAAAGAAAATTCACTACCTTCGAAAATTGGCCCTACACAACTCACTATGTACACAGAAAATAAATTTCACTATGAAAGTATTCCTATATTGGTCGTTGATTGTTGCCCGGATCACAAATATGGCACTGGTTTTAGCGAGAGCGCCAAATTGGAGGAAAATTGCACTGACATGGCGCTACCACTCCTTTCACCGAAGTCGTTGAGAACTTGCCACATCCAGCGTTCTAATCACGAATGTGACATTCGTTTTTGATGCTGCTGCCAATTAGCGTCATTTAAAGCGTTTACCAAGTTACACATTTGGCGCTTTTGTCAGAAAAGCATGTCCTATTCATGATCAGGATGCTAAATAACCCTTGAATGTTAAAAAATTTCCAATGAATTTGGTGAAAACGGGATTTGCGCCATGTCTATGAAGTTTTCCTCCAGTTTGACTCGCCAAAAACAGTTGTCATATTTGTCATCGGAACAATCAATAACCTCTTAGGGGAAGTCTCACCGGAACTGTCCACTTTTCAACTTTCACACCAAAGAAGGGTCACGTGGGCAATGTCAGCCACCGGTAACTAGCGCTTACAATCGTCTTAACAGGCGCTTTCCAGACAACCCTTGCAGCCGCGAAGTGGCTGAAGAAATTGAAACATCTAAGGGAGAAGGTACCCTGGATGAACTGTCAGCAAGCTCTGATTTACTGTTGTTGCTTTCACTACATATTTGAACATTTGAACCCGGCTCCATGGATGTGTTCTTAATTCCAACACCAGAGACCTTACTTGCAAGTACGTTTCGTTACGGTATTACGGTATTACACCCAGACCAGCAAACTGTTTCTTGTTTCTTCTTTCCTTTTCCGAGCCCATACAGAATTCGAAGCACATTCAACATTACATTTACCATTTGTTCTTTTCCTGCCTACCAAGGTACTATAATACCGCATAGTATCCTATCCTACTTACTATAAAGCGCTTCGTCTGTCTGTCTGTCTGTCTGTCTGTCTGTCTGTCTGTCTGTCTGTCTGTCTGTCTGTCTGTCTGTCTGTCTGTCTGTCTGTCTGTCTGTT